TTTTTTCTAATATTTTTCATGAGACCATAAATTAAACATAATTTTGTACTAAAAAAATGTTCACTATAACGTGAATATTGTCATTATCGCCAAATCGGCGTCGCCGAAACGGCAGCGCCGAAAATATCTATCGCCGATACGACAGCGCCGAAACGGCAGCGCCGAAATGGCAGCGCCGAAAAGTCCTAGACCCATATATACTATATATATTATAGAATTAAACTTTGACTAGAGAGTGGCTAGTCACACAGGTTAGACCTAGTTAAGTACTAAACTGCAGTATAACATTCTGCCTTATAGGAATAATGGCATGTAGGTAACCTCCTACACTTACGAAAGTTCAGTATAGACATCTGTTTACAACTATTTTCAGCTGTTAGCTTTATGTATTGGTGTTGTGCACAAATCAATATATTCTCTGGCTTGATGTCCGTGTGGATTATGTGACAAGTCTCGTGAAGGTATTTCAGCCCTTGCAGCACCTAGGTATATACACATACACACACAAATCGGTATTATTCATAAAGCGTAAATGATACCTATGCTTATATATTAATGCGTGTAGCTCATTGTTATTTGCTGTATTCGCTCAGCTGAATGCCTGAACGGCTAAACTCACTTGTCTGATGATATGTTTTACCAAGTAAAGTGGTATCCCTTGGTAGTTGGTCCTCTTGATGAGCTTAAGTAAATTGGGTCCCAGTGCCTCAAATACCATGACTACGTGCATACCCCGCAAACCGTCTATTCGGAAATCGTCGAACAATTGAATGATCTTTGTACGGTTTGTATCCAAATCTCGGTGACGGTAAATCTGAATAGAATAATAATATTATTATCATTTTTTTTTTTTTTTTTGGTCATATAATAGGCCATATTGCGTTATTAATGTACATTCAAATTGTTGCATATCATGTATGAAATTATATATTTATTATGATAACATTTTATTTTTTCCTTCATTTTGCATGTGCACACACATAAACGATTTCAAGATAACCAATAAACTGATTATAAATTTTAATACTGTATATAGTGATATTATAGTGCATACGACATACGTGCGTCTGTTTGGTGACATACTTACRCTTTTCAACATTCGTATTTCATCCAACGCGCTTTCTGTGTAGTCAACTGCGGATTTCACGACCTTGAGAGCTGAAAAGTTGTGTGCCCTATAAAATTACAAAAATACAGTCTTATTATTACCTTTAAAAATTTAAATTATTTAAATTTTTGTACCAGTTCTGTTCAAAACATGAACRTTAAATCTTTAACTTATGCTGTAATAACAATATTAATATTAATGCATTTTTGTAAGCAAAATTAAATTTTAATGTAAAAAGCTTATTTGAATTATATTTACACATTTTCTACCATGTATTTTTTAAACTTCAGTATTGTATTGTATATACAAGTAAAAGTKWGTGAGATGTTATTACTTATGTGTATGTACAAGACTAAAAAATGTTGAATAAAATTTAAATTATATTAAATCTATCTATTTTTTTTTTTTATATATAAATAAATAAATAAATTGGCTAAATTTGAT